TTGATGATAAATAGCTAAACAGGCAGATAAAGTAAAGAATATATTGATTACATGCATTCTGATGGATGATCATAAAGTCAGTTATAATAGACTGCAGGCTATAGATTGAAACGGATATGTGCTATAGAGGCCTTGTATTCCGCTGAGAACCCAAAGGAATGATAATGACATTTTCATCTAAAGGGCACATGTCAATTCAATCAATCGACGGAAAAATCCAAAACTGATGGCTCTCTTGTGGCGCAAGTGGTCTAGTAGATAACGCTTTGGCTTTTAAAACTATGGGCACTAGGTTCGAGCCTCGGTGCAAGGAACATCATCACTCACTGGGGAGTGCAAGTACATCCAATTATCTGACGAGTTCGAAACTTGACGAAATTCGTGTTGTCCTGGATTCCACTGCTAGTCCCCATTCACCAATTAACCTATAACTACATGTCCAGATATCGTCGAAGCATCTGCACAAGAAGCCGACGTGTCAACCTGAGACCAAGAACTTCGGGCTAATCAGTCTACGGAAAATCTACAATTGAATTAGATATTAAGGATATGTTTGTAGCATAGTTTCATGCTTTATTTTTTAAATTTATGTGAACGTTTTTTAGCGGTAGTAGCACCAGAGGTAAATATCTGACTTCCTTTACACTGTTCCCGTCAATCATTTCATTCTTGTCAAAGGTGGTAAACAATGTTATTCGTGTAAAAAGTTAGGTAACTGTCTTAGGCAGAATTAGAAGGTCTGACACACTGACTACAGAATGTAACTGAAGTTATAAAAAAACAATTATCAGGAGAAGACAAAAGCTTGAATGGTGATTAGAATATTTACATTTAGTGTGCGGTTGTGAATGTAGTGAAAACGTGAACACAACTCATGTATTTACTCAGACATTAAGACGATTAATACACTGTTGATTGATTACATTGTACTGGTCTGTGTTGATACGCCAACTCTGAGTATGGACTCTTCAACGATATCTATAGATCAACATCATGTTTTTTTCTTGGATGGTGACAAGCCGTGGAATTCAGGAAGCTCATTTCATCCTATTTGGGATATGTCATCGAGGCATACCTGCATCCCAAGTGAATGGTGAATGATGTTCTCAATGAAACCAAAACCCAGCTCCGATCGTTCAAAAACGCTAAGAAATTGCTGTCGTATCCTAATGGCTCAACTAATAGCTATCTGTCATTTAGAACAGTAGGTGCAGGGTTTGACTCCCAGTGGGAATATCATTCACAGGGGATGCAGATATATCCACATGGTAGTCGTCCCTGTATAGAAGAAAATGCGCCTCCTGGATTCCACTGCTAGTCACCTAGAACCAAAACGCTTAACATATAGTGCCGTAATATTTAAAAACGTAACTTTTAAAATAATGCAATCATGAGAGACAAGGATACAGGACCAAGGTAATTCAGTTAAGTAAGGCTGGAATTAAAGACGTACCGTTAAAGTGCGAGGTGACTATGAAAAAGCAGCAATTGATAATTATGATAAATATCCTGTTCTAATAAATAAACTTTAGGCCAAAAAATGAATTAGATTTACTTTCCACATATTTGGAAGGTCGAGAAAGCTGAACAGTTAGTGCCTATTGTGTAAAAAACATTGATGGAAATGACTGAGATTACTGATCAATTAATGATAAACCATTAACATATTCAGAGTTTCATAAATTTGATACTAAGAGTTTCTCTTTTTTCTTTTTTCCTTCACGTTCCCAGTGGAACATAGGGCCCCAAGCTAGTGGTTTGAAGTTTCTGTAGCAGTGTTTAACTTTTACAGGATTGGGTTGCTAGCCTCATGCCCAACCTTTCCTCTTTACCAGGATTATTTCTGGCTCAGTGAGGTAAAGGAGTGCGCCGGCCGGGGGTCGAACCCCGGACCATATGCATGGCCGGCAAACGTCCTAACCGCTATACCACCGACGCTACTAAGAGTTTAGGTAAATTAATTTCTGATACAGTACAGATCAAGTTTGAGTCTAAATAGTCAGACTGAGCAGGGACAAAATGAAAGGGTCACTAACTTAAAAAAACCTTTGGTGAATTGTAAAACTTTTACATATATTCACCCATGTCAGTGATTTTGCTTCAATGCAGTAAAAAGAATACGTTAATTATCTAATGAAAAGACGACTAATTGTGTAATACGTCGTCAGGAATCAGATTTGATGAGATGTGTAAAATTTCTAATTAGATGGTTGGAGGCAAGCGGAAGGAAGCCTTGCTCAACCTAGATGTCGTGCTAGTTGGCACTCACCAGTCAGCAAGGCGTATCTGCAACCTTGAAGGAACTCATGTCCCTTCTGAGATTCGAACCCGCGTCACCCACTGCTGCAGTCAGAGACGTTACCACTCAGCTATTCGGGCTCGAGAATTAACAGTAGTGTTTAGTTTTCATCCAACAGTAAGTGCCTATTTTTAAAACAACCAGTTAATTTGAATGGAAAACACCTGGTTGGTTTGAACAAAACAAGAATGAATGTATTTGTAGAGAAAAAACAACTCATTTTTTACTTCATAGGTTTTCGAATGAAGTCTGGAACAATATGATTGTACAGTTTTTTGTTTGATGTTATAAATGGAAACATTGTACATAACTTTATTTTAAAACAATTTATTGTAAAATACACATAACTTTGCAGTACATTAAAACTACAGTGTGCTGCTCGACACTTCGTCTTCTCACTGGTCCGCACTGTCTACTTGCTTCACTACCAACCGTGTTATGTAATTTGGATTTTGCAGGAACCTTTCATCCTTATTCGAAGATCATTCTACAACCTGTGCATAGCTTCTACAAGTAGACATAACTCCAACAGTGAACATTATTGTGGATTACACTAATAATTTGTAGCAGCGTACTTTAACCGTATCATTAAGTAACCATTAATTTATATAATTCATTAACTGCATTTTTTTTATAATATACTCTTACAATATCATTTCACCTGCTTAGATTTTTATTCTAATACTTGTTTTGTTACCAAGCTCCTTATTAAGTCCCCTATGTTCTTCAGCTGCTGACAGCATACGGATAACTCAGAGTGTTAATGACTCATTCAAATTTTTGAATGAGCCAGTAATTTTATAGTAAGCTAAATCAATTGAATATTCCAGGGGAACTCTTAGTGGTATATAATGTTTGCTCATTATTTATAAGCGAAAACTTTGAAAATCATATACCAGTAGCCTTAACTGCTTTCTCTCTCCAAAGACGAATTGAAACAGCTATTACTGTTTTCTACAAAGAATGTTCGCTTCCTATTCAATAACCAGAGCTTCAGGAAAATTTGCGGAACGACTATAGGTTAGCCTTATTGGTTATTTTCTTGTGGATTTATTCATGACACATTCTGATAAAAGACTACTGAAATCAAAAATACAGAAGACCACTCCTTTAATCTCTTCCAGCACCCTTTTGATAAAGTGTAATTTTGGTTCTCTCTTGTTTGTATGATTTGAGTTGAATTCGGTACATTTTTACCTAATTTATCAAACACTCATCTTCTTACGCATGTCTCGTCTTTATTATGCAACTCCTTTACCATTGTATGCATATACTTACAGGAGGTTCCAGAATTAGTGAACAGTGCTCAGAAGATCACGCTTATATAGTTTTTACACAAGCAGTTCAAGTTTAAGTTAAGTGAATGTATGCGTATAATGTTAAAGGACTTACGCGATAAAGACGAGAGGTGCGTAAAATGATGAATGACTAATTCGTTAGGTAATAATGTACTGAGTCGAACTCAGATAATAGAAACAATAGACAAACAAAATTACACTATATCAAAGAGGTGAGAGAGGTGAAACAGAGAGAGAGAGAGTCAGCGTTTGATAGAAATTGTTTTGGCAAACTTGAAACCCAATTTATGTGTTCAGAAAGAAGCAGTTATCATTCCTTCCTTGCCCAGGTACCTGGATGTCTTCACTCACTCTCTCTCTCTCATTTGATTGCATAATCTTTGGTTTTAACCTCACCTCTTTGATATAGTGTAATTTTGTTTGTCCTTTGTTTCTATTATCTGAGTTGGACTCAGTACATTGTTACCTAATGAATTAGTCATTCAGCATTTTACGCACCTCTCGTCTTTATTGCGTAAGTCTTTTACCATTGTATGCATACACTTATTTTGTATATACTTGAACTTTCTGTGAAAAAATTATATAAGTGTGATTTTCTGAGCACTGTTCACCAACTGTAGAACTTCCTGTAAACTGACGTCATGTAAAATTTGCAAGTAAGTTGAAAAGTGTCTGTTCATAAACGTAATAAAAATTTATTTAGGCTGTAAGCAAGTAACTGATGAGAATTCAATGAAATAATGAAATGGTACAATATTATTCTGCACAAAGTGTTGTTCTTGCTTTATTCAGAAATGGATTTATTGACTGTCTTTTGGTATTCAAAGAGTTCTACGTATTTAAATTACTGGGCAATAATAATCCAAGACAGCCTTTCAGCAACGTGAAGTAGAGAAGTTATGAGAACAAACCAACCAAAAGCTGGTCGTTCATTGATCGGACATACATTCAGGAAGCCTCCGAATGACATCGCACGCCAAGCCTTTGAGTGGAATCCCGATAGGAAGCGTCGAGTGGGTCGTCCTAGGGTGACATGGAGGACATCGTGTGAGCAAGTATGCGTTGAAGATGTCGCCTACTAGGGCGATGAAAGCTTCGCAAATTAACTACCCAGCTGAGAAAACATAACCACCTCAAAAAAGAGATTAGAGAGTTTGGTCAGTCACAGACCCAGATGAAGGGGACGGCAGAAACCATAACAAAGTGGAGACGTGTTGTTGAAGCCCTATGTTCCACTCAAAACGCAGGGGAATAATAATAACGTGGAGTAGAATATCATTTTCATAATAAACACGTGGAAAAATGAAATTTAAGGTAAAAATACACTGTAAAACTGTAAGTTTCTATATTTTAACTATCAAAAGTAGAAATGCAACTGAATTGAATAAAAACTATTTACTTACCTAACCACCAGTCCTCTGAAACTTCGTATATCGCTGCTACTGGCATAGGTAGAGTAGCAACCATTAAATCAGCAACAGCCAAACTGGCTATTAAATAGTTAGAGACTCCCTATAAACACAAGAGAAAAAAACATTGTTTAGTGAGTGTGGAAATGAACAAACTGCTTAAACATGTTTTCTTTTAAACTACTGAAAGAGTTTACACTGCATAAAGAACCGCCTAGTTATTCATTATTTTTCAATAGCGAGACTGTACCCACAAAGCAAAAACATAAGAAAAATATTCTAAAATATCTTCCTTTTTAGAATTTACAACAACAGAAGGGTCATTTAAGGAAACTGAGGAAACACACTGAATTCTAAGATAACAGCCACTGTAAATGTTTTAGATTCTGCTTCTGTATGTATCTAACTTCACAGTTTGTTAATCCACAGATATATAACAGGCAAATGAATGAGTATCTAGCGAAATCTAATGTCATTTCGAAGTTGTACGAACTATGCGAATAGTATCGTAATACAGCAATAATAATTATATAATTAAAATATGGATTGCATAATGCATGGTTTTGGAAAATAAAGAGTTGCCGTTTCATCCTAACTTGGGAATCATCGGCATTACACACCCGCTGCCAGGATTTGAACCCAAGACCTTCCGGTTACAAGACAAGCTCATATACCACTCAAACACTGGGACCCGATTCAGTGGCTCATGAAACAGCAGCTGTCCAGTACTCCCTGGTTTTCAATGGTTCTCTAACTGATATCAATCCGTGATCGACTCGTAAAAACATAACAAACCTTTTAAAACCAAACTATATAGAATGAAGAGCAATAAGGAATAAGCATGTGCACAGGTTGATTACGTAATAGATTGTTAAGAAAATAAAACAATTTGGACAATGATAATTTGTAACTAAAGTTGAAGTGGCCATAACAATAAAATAATTTTTACAATGATAGCACGCAAAAAATTAGGGCAATTTTAGCTTTTTGTAATTTAAAAAAAATTTAGGGGGAGGAGAATGAACGACCATGCACATGGTCCGGGGTTCGAGCCCACACCGGCGCACACCAGATATCTATGGTCGGCCTGCGAAATTTGGGCTACCGATATCCACGCTGAAAATTCCATACTTGTACCAAAAATACAGTGTGGAATCAAGCTGTTACCAAAAATAAAAAAAATAAAATGAAGTAGTCCGGTTTACACAATCATGTAACGATGGCCAAGGTAAGGAAAGTGGCTGTACAAATTTCTTCTGAACACACAAGTTTGGCTTCTTCAGGTGGATTCCCATTGCTTCAGCTGTATGTAGAAGACTAACTCGTAAAGCAAAATTAAGATTACTAGGAATGCGATAAATAATTTTAAATGCAGTATTAATGTCAACCTTATTCTCACTGTCTACAAGGTGGGCTAAAATAGCGCTACAAATAGATCTTGTTTGCCCCTTGCTTGACCATGCTGGATGATGTTCGGAAATACGATGATGAACCTGCCTAATTGTACGCCCGATGTAGGTGGCTCAGCAGCTGCAGTCAAACTAGTACATACACATAGAAGAGGCGAATTTAGGTAGTTTATCCTTATTTCTCGAACGTAAAATAGGTTTGGTTGTGAAGAAACATCTGCTGCATAATAAGCTCTTTTAACTGAATTATTCAGTCTTTGTGTTATTATTTCGCTGATGTTGTCGCCGAGGAACTGCAGTTTTATGAACAATGGTTTTTTCGGAACTGCTGCCATAGTGATCGTCCTAGGTGATAATAATGAGTAATATTGTGTCGTTCATTACATTAGAGACAAGCAAAAGTACTTGTTGACAGAAAAGGAACAGGTTATAAAACGGTAATGTTCCAAGCTCTGATCGATTCTTGACAAGTAGAAATTAAATTAACTAGTCGACCGATATTATGCAACAAGACATTACACCATATTTTAGCTCAACATTTAAAATATTTATAGATGCAACTCTGGTGACATAAGTTTACTATTCATAAATCTCAGGATGAAGCATATGTTCCATTAAAGACAACGAGTTTCCATTAATTTGGAGATGCAATCAACTGAATAGCGTTAATAACGTTTTTGGAAATGCCATTTGCTGAAATCAGAAACTATCTGACTAGTGGTTTAATTCTACGTGAAGTTTGGTGCTATCTGTATAGATTTCTAAAAAATAACCATTAGTTCCAACTAGGGTATTGGATAACTTTTAACTTGCAGGTACACTGACCAGATGAACTTGATTCTTCGTGCTCAAGAGCATCTCCCAGTATGGCTAATTAAAGGTGAAGTAAAAAAACCATCAACAGTTTGATATTAGACCACCTGGTCCAAAACCAGCTACATATCCAGCATTGAAGAATCCTTCTATATCACCTACCGTGTACCAAATAAATTGCCAAAAACATTCAGGTACCGCATGTTCCAAACAGCAGAGGCTGTTGCGATTCGCGTGAAATAGCCAGTGCTTTGTGTGCAAAAGAAGCAAGTTCAGACACTATTTCTGCCCTGGACGGCCTTCAGTAGAGACTATAAATTCATGAATTTGTATTATTATTTTTCCTAATTTTTTCTGACCTTCAGTAGTTTATTGTTATGTTAATGCTAATGAACTGTTATCCATTGATAGTATTATTATTGATTCAATGTTATTTAAACAGCATTAATGCTGTTAATAACACTAATTCATTCACTGTTACGCATATATAACTTTAGAACATGATGAAGAAGGAGTTATCGAAAAGAATATTCCTTGTTTAGTAACCATTCTTCTGAATAAATTAGTGCTAATTAAATTTTTACAGGCCAGTAAGATAACGAAGCAGCATACGTCTGTCACAGTGCAATATTCATTATCACTAATCTTTGATTATTACTCGGGGTCAGTTGCCTAATAGCAATAGTAAATACTCCTCTAGGCAGAATAACTGATTATTTAACACAGTTTAACTTAGCAGTAGCCGGAAACAGGTATTTCATCAATTATGACTTAACTAATTCCTAAAATTTGTGATTCCGATAAAACTTTTCAAGATATTCTCTCAAATCTGTGTAACATTTGATATAGTTATATGCATTATTTTGTATGAAGCCTTTTATCTTGCAGTAAATGAAAAGTAGGTTAAATATCACTTTCATCATTCTCCTGTCAACATCATCAACATGTTTTCAGTGATAATACCTTTATCATGTAAATTCCAGAAGACAAATAGTTCTATGTTGTTTAACAAAAACTGTCCCACAGAAAGTCTGATTACATTTTGCAGCTGTTTGTAGAGTGTAAACGCCCCCGCCCCACTCCTCACCAATTAATACTGACTGACGTATTCTTCATCATGTCAAAGCGCTGAAACCAATTATTCCATTGTACTGACTTTTTAAAACAAAAAGTTCATGATGGCCAGTATGTTATGGTGAATAAATGCTTTTCTAAACAGACTTTGCATGAGTCTTATATGGAATCATTTTTATTTACAATTAGTGCTTCTAAATTTGAAGTTATCATTGCTAAAATGGTGAGTTTTTGAACTTCTTCTGTCATGTCACAAGATTCTTATCTACCTGCATTCACAGAACTAAATTAATATTTTACGGCCCAAAACAGTTAATTAGAATAAGATATATGGATATTTTAAAATATTAGTTTTGTCCTGATATGGTCATACTTGTCAAGATGAATAGAGAAAAAAACATCCTTATCTTTAACGATAGCTATTATGCTCCTCCGGAATTGAACTTGAAATCAACTATATTCCATAAGGTAATCCTTGAGAGTGCACTTTGTATTCATCAGAGATTGAGTGCAGAACAAAGTTGTATAGAATTCTAGCGAGAGATGCTGACCTAGAGGGTCCGCCATTTCTGAGTTTGAGGAGAGAGAGACTCATAGATGACAATGACTGGTGTTGACGCTAAAAATCCAGAATCGTCAAAAGTTAGAATTAAGGAGTATTGGATTCGTTTTCAGCAGCTGAATCGCCTCGCAACCTCAAAGTCATTGGTTTGATCTCTGGTGGGATTATGGGTGACTGTTGATGAAGAGTCCCTAACTAGGATTAAACAGTTGTATAATATGCAGTGGTCTCCATTGATTCTCTAACTGATATCAGTCGGTGGCCAAACCCGAAACCAATCACACTCCTACAAACTATAGCTTTAAGGCCTACTAAGCAGTTTGCATATCTTAGATGCCTTTTACAGACAAATTATTTGTGACTCTTAAGTGCTTACAAAATAGAAACCTTTGGCAATTAAGTACCATATAATCCTTACACAAATAACTGATATTCAGAATGCGCAAACAGCATGAACATTAGCTTGGCAAACAGAAAAGTTCAAGGTATTTAAACTTTTATCCCGATATTCAAGTAGTAGTTTTCGATGGTCGGATGATTTCATCATGAGCTGAAATCAGTTAGAGAACCATTGGAAAACCAGCTGGGAGTACTGGACAGCTGTTTCCTCCGTCTTAGTCTAGGACTCTTCAACAGTACGCACCCACTGCCAGGGTTCGAACATAAGACCTTCTGGTTACAAGACTAGAGAACTCCCAATACATTAATTTAAACACGAACCTCATTCATGCTGCATACAGCCAATAATCTCTTACTTGGTTGAAATTTAATTCTAATCTTCTGTGTATTCATATAAAACTTTGGAAGTTGTATTAAGTTGACAGAGAGGAAAATACAATACAGAATATGGCAGGAATGTATTTCACCACTTTTGCGTCATATATTGCATGAGTTATGCAATCTTAAGCTCGAAAATTTACTGTCAACCGACTTCTAAAAATTAATGATGACAAAACGCCTTTGAAAAAATTACTTGTTAAAATGTTTGTTTCCTAATCAGTAGGTCTACTTACTAATGTATTTCTCTTCTCTTGACAGAAAAAGTTTGAAGGAGACAGGATACATCTAATGCAGATATCTCATTTTGTATAATCCCATAAAGTATGTTTAACAACTCTTATTGTAGTCATATACAAAATAAGAAAATTGTAAGCGTATTTAAAAAGTAATTCGTAGTGTCTAATGAAAAGATAACATAACATCAGTCAACGCGAGGTGTCAAAGTTATAGGCGAAGAAAGGCTTA